CCCCCCCCCCCCCCCTGAAAATGACAATCACTCAGCCTCCTGGACACCCTACGTCACCTTGGCCACCAATCAGGATGCTCTTGGCTACTAAAAGCAGAAACCGATGAAATTACCTCATACAGGAAATACATGCTCCATTCCCTGAGATCCCTGACCTGGCATCCAAGCTCATGATAACTGAAATACCATGCTGTCCCACACAGTTTCTTCCTTCCTTCCTTCTTTCTTTCTTTTTCCATTTTTCAAGACAGAGTTTCTCTGTAGCTTTGTACACTAGGGCTGGTCTCAAACTCACAGAGATCCCCCTGTCTCTGCCTCCCTCCCGAGTGCTGGGATTCAAGGAGCGCGTCACCATGGCCCGGCTGTTTTTTTCTTTTGAGACATACACACAAACACACACATGCACAAACATAAATAAATGTAAATAAATAAGCAAATGGACGAATATGAATAAGCAATTAAAAGAAAAACACCGAATTCCCCAATTTTATAAATCCTTGGAGTACAGAAACCTTTCCAGGCTGAAGTGAACAAGAAAAAAGAAAGACATGGCTAAGGCCAGAGAAAGACATCATTGCTGGCTCTGGAGAAAGGGGGAGGGAGCTGTGTTTGGAAAAGTGGAGAGGGCGATTCTCCCATAGGGACCAGCCCTGCCAGTCCCCAGATCTTGGTTCAGTGAGACCCATGCAGACTGACCTACAGAATGTTTAAGCCACTGGATTTGTAGTGGTGTCATAACGGCCGGAGACATCAATGTAGGCAATTCTTGGAGCTTAAAGCCTACCCGCCTTAGGGTGGGAGAGCATCTATCACTCTCGCAGAGGACCCAAGTGGGGTTCCCAGCACACACTTCAGGCAGTTCACAACCGCCTGCAACTCCAGTTCAGATCTGATGTCCTCTTCCGGTCTCAGTGCTCACTGCGTTTAAGTGTGTGTGTGTGTGTGTGTGTGTGTGTGTGTGTGTGTGTGTGTGAGCGCGCACGCGCGCGCGCTCACATGTGTGCAAATAAACTAATGTTTTTTGAGGCAAGAGAGGGTCTCTGTGTGTATGGAACTTTCTGTGGAGACCAGGTTAGCTTCAAGCTCACCGAGATCCACCTGCCTCTGCCTCTGGAGTGCTAGGATTAAAGGGGTGTGCCACTACCATCCTGCCATAAAATAAATTTTTCTTCTTTTTCTTTCTTTTGGTTTTTTTCAAGACGATGTTTCTCTGTGTAGCTTTGCCTGTCCTGGAACTCATGGTATAAACCAGGCTAGCCTCAAATGCAGAGATCTAGCTGTCTCTGCCTCACAAGTACTGGGATCAAAGGCGTGTGCCACCACCATCTAGACATAAAATAAATCTTAAAAAAAAAAAAATCCTAGCCCTGTGACTATTCAAGTTTTCTCCCAAAGGCCGATGGGTCTCTTGAGAATTCTCCTCCTGGGGCCAGTGAGGACATGGCTCAGTGGGTAAACATTATTGCTGCATACCTGATGACCTGAGTTGCAGTCCCAGAACTTATACTGCGGAAATAGAAAACTAGCTCATCCAAGTTGTCCTCTGACCTCCACACATGTGCCAGGGCACTCACACGAATTAATTTTTAAAAACAATTCCCTTCCTGCTCTCCTCTACTGGGGATAATATCCCATTTCTAGGAAGTTTTTCCTGGTTTCTCTACTATAAACAGTCATCCATAAGACACGTGTAAACTGTTTGAAACAGAGTCCCATCCTGGCATACACACACACCCCATGCCTTCTCCTAAGTCTTCCTGCATGGAACTGTCCCAAGAGTCCCCTTGCACCGTTGTTTGTAATTCTGTATTTATTTCCCCCCTGGAGAGGATCCCTCTGCCTGTGATCAATTCCACCACGAGGGGGTGCTGGGGGACAGGAAAACCGCCTGACAGCACAGAACAAAGGTTCTGGAACTCCGGCCGCACCCGATGTAGGAACAAGGTCTCTAAGAGATCATTTCCGGTTCCAGCATCCCAATGATCCACCCTGATCCCAGCAAGAGATACTGCGGAATCCAAGTCACAAGTCCCCGAGCCTGCTCCCTTGCTAGACTCTACAGGCGGCGAGG